GTCATAGAATGGATTCCTTACTGAAGGACACTACTCACTCTCACTCTACACAATGGTATTATCTAACCCTAGTCCCTGTTTGGTATCACATTTATCAACAGTTACCTCCAGTTTCTTCTTGCTTCCTCCAGTGGCTGCCTGTGCCATGAACATGGACTTGATATTGGCCTTGGGTTTTGTACCTGGCCTTACAATATTTGGGTTCTTGGTCTTCTTCTTGTCTTCTTTCTTTTCTGAAAAGAAGGTGTTTATTCTGTCAACCTAACATAAGAGAAACTATTTACAAATCATAACAGTGTTTCACCTATCAATTTTAACACATCAGTAACTATTTACAGTTTATAACAGTGTTTAACCTATTAATTACAGTTTAATTTTGAGTTTTCATCAGCTGTGACAAACCCTGCTGAATTCTTCCAACATAATGGTTGTAGATTACTTCCGATTTCCTCTAGCTTCTGTGCAATGACTTTCATTTTGGTTTTTTGTGTGCATGTGTTTTTTTCCATCCCTTTGTTATCATCCAACTCATAGGTTTTTCTAATAATCTTATTTTATTGTCATTTTTTTGTTTTTACTTAATCTCCATTTACTGGACAGCCATTTTAGTATCAAGAATTTTAAAGAAGTTTATAAAGTCAAACAGCTTTTCAGTTTACTAGACCATACAGCAGAAAAATAACAGTTTCCCAAGGTTGAAAATTGTGAAATTTTCTAAGAATGTTGACAAAACCAAGAATGTTTTCACCAATTTTCAAAACTTTTCCCCAATTTCTGAAGGCAAAGTCTGCTATAAAATTCAGGAAGAAAAAACCCTGTTACTATTGATAGTACACAAATTAATTAGGCATGTCAGCAATATCGGGGGAAAAAGTAATTGAACATCAACTACTCTGTAGGACTAACTCACTGTTAACAGAAGGGGCAGAATCATCCAGATCATCATCAAATATCTCTCGTCCATCCTCCACGTAACCTGATCCATCTGGAAAGTACGGGTAAAAGAACAATATTAAACCAGGTGACATCACCTGATCTGTCTAGAAAACAAGAAAGAACGGGTAAAAGAACAATATTAAACCAGGTGACATCACCTGATCTGTCTAGAAAACAAGTACAGGTAAAAGTACAATATCAAATCAGGTGACATCACCTGATCTGTCTGGAAAACAAGAAAGTACGGGTAAAAGAACAATATTAAATCAGGTGACATCACCTGATCTGTCTAGAAAACACGTACAGGTAACAGTACAATATTTAATCAGGTGACATCACCTGATCTGTCTAGAAAACAAGTACAGGTAAAAGTACAATATTAAATCAGGTGACATCACCTGATCTGTCTGGAAAACAAGTACAGGTAAAAGTACAATATTAAACCAGGTGACATCACCTGATCTGTCTGGAAAACAAGAAAGTACGGGTAAAAGAACAATATTAAACCAGGTGACATCACCTGATCTGTCTGGAAAACAAGTACAGGTAAAAGAACAATATTAAATCAGGTGACATCACCTGATCTGTCTAGAAAACAAGAAAGTACGGGTAAAAGAACAATATTAAACCAGGTGACATCACCTGATCTGTCTGGAAAACAAGAAAGTACGGGTAAAAGAACAATATTAAACCAGGTGACATCACCTGATCTGTCTGGAAAACAAGTACAGGTAAAAGTACAATATTAAATCAGGTGACATCACCTGATCTGTCTAGAAAACAAGTACAGGTAAAAGTACAATATTAAATCAGGTGACATCACCTGATCTGTCTGGAAAACAAGTACAGGTAAAAGTACAATATTAAATCAGGTGACATCACCTGATCTGTCTAGAAAACAAGTACAGGTAAAAGAACAATATTAAATCAGGTGACATCACCTGATCTGTCTAGAAAACAAGTACAGGTAAAAGAACAATATTAAATCAGGTGACATCACCTGATCTGTCTAGAAAACAAGTACAGGTAAAAGAACAATATTAAACCAGGTGACATCACCTGATCTGTCTGGAAAACAAGTACAGGTAAAAGAACAATATTAAATCAGGTGAACAACTACAAATAGAGAATAGAAATTTCTATTATAAACACTAACATTTGAAGTCACTTCAATATCTTGTAATACCTAACATAAATCCCTCTACAGTAAAAATGTCAAGAACTCTGAAGTAGATGTAGGTATAAAAAAAAATTGCTACATGCAACTTCTTAACATAACATCATCCCCAATCTGTTTACCTGTAACTATAACCCGTTAATTAATATGAAACCTACCATTGTCCACAATCCAATTACCTGTAACTATAACCCGTTAATTAATATGAAACCTACCATCGTCCACAATCCAGTTATCTGTAACTATAATCCGTTAATTAATATGAAACCTACCATTGTCCTCAATCCAGTTACTATAAACTGTTAATTGATATAAAACTTACCATCGTCGACAATCCAGTCATCTTCTTGTCTTTCCTGTACAATTTTGGAATACTCATCTTCATCAACAATATCATAGACTTGTTGATCCTCTTTCTCCTACAAAAAAAATAAAATGTTGTGAATCATACCATCGTGTATATGTGCAGCAGTATAATAATAAAAAGCAAGAAACCTCACTGGAATCAATGAAGGCAAGTTTGACCTTTGGTTCAGTTTCCTTTCTACAGGGATCGAAAAACTTCAATTTGTATTTGACAACAAAGAAGTTTGTTGGAATGTTTTTGAGATAACAAGTAAACAAAATGATTTGCCTGACAGATGCCCCAAATCTGAATTGTTATTGTATCCTGGAGTGGCCCTGTCCCTAAAACTGACCCCTCCATCTACTATCACATGGCATGGAGCACCACATTTTTTGACATGGACTTAAAAAAAAATAATTTGAAAAAGATCCACTACTTATGTCCTTCCAGATCTGTACATTTGTTGTGTGTTTGGCTCAGTAACAAACTCATGCAGTTTGCTTTCCCAAATTCAATAAAAAAATTCCGAAAGTCAATAATTGAATTACAGACGTTCCCTCCAAAAACCATTCTCCACAACATTTATTCATTACGCTCTATTTTTTAAAAACCATTTCGTCCCAAAAGTGGCAGAGATTTTGTCCCAAAAGTTAACTCATTGAAACGAAAAACGTTTATTGATTTTTATGATATGCACACTTGTATGCTATGTAATTCCAAGGTAACATGTCTAGTTTGTTTCAATAGGTATGGAAATGATTATATATATTACAAATAGATCTGTATTAAATAAGCCTACATATTTGTTGCAAAAGTTAATCAGTTTGATTTTCCTCAAGACTCAACTGGCATTTTGATTTCATAAAATTGCATTTTGTGTTTCCCAATTTATCAACTATAAAGAATGAATCTTAGAAAGATGTTATATGATTGATTTTGTTGTGATTAAATATACACTAATACAAATTGTGTTGAGAATGATACAATGAACAACATCTTTCTCTGTTGTTTTTCTTGAAGCTGGAACGAGCGTTGCATCCAGACATAGGTACACAACCTTCATGAAAGATGTATTTTCTAGTAATTTGTAGTATGTCAAAACATGGCTTCAGTGTTTCCATGGAGATGTTTGTGATGGTGGGAGGGAGGGGGGAAACACATGAATGCAGACCCTTCCCAGGCCCCCCCCCCCCCCCCCCCCAAAAAAAAAAAACTTGGTAAAACCTCTTACCTGCCAAAAACAAAAGTATTCCAATCATTATGACTATCATAGAGTATGCCTGTATAGTATGGGACTGAAAACAAAATGGACCAATTTACAATATATTAATGAACATTGAATGGAAGGTTGACTGAAAATCCATAGCTAGACAAACTTAACTGCATCCTCTGGCATAAAGAAGCAGAGGTGCCCATTTGACAATTGTATACGTAGCATTGCCATCAGCTTCCCAGCTTTCCTAATTCACTCCCAAAAGTACATCTATATATCCGCAGTGACAGCTTGGGCGAGATGCTTATGGCCTCGATGTGATGGAGAGAAAAGTATTTCTCAGTTTCTATTTTGGTTGATGAGGCGGGCCAAGGATTGGGGGTCATTACTAAATACAACATACCTCATATTTGTTTTTCACACCGGCGGCTTTCGCTTCTCGCAATCTCTGCAAGGCGGCAAATTTTCCCTTTTTGTCTATTTTTTGACGTTTTGATCGTCCACGAGCAAGAGAATCTATTGATTAAAACACAAAACACACCTGTCATATGGTACCCTAATCGTAATAGTCATTAAACTTTGATTTAGAAAAAAAAACAAAAACAAAACAAAAAAAAAAGAGCACACAAAACACCGGTGGCCGTCAAAAATCGAACGTTCTGGTGATGCTTAGTTAAGCTCTTAATTACAGGCAAATGTGCCCTGATCGTACAAAAAATATGTTCTAATTAAAAAAATGTTACAGAAAATCGTCATCAGATAACCGTGTCTACAATTTTACCTTGGTTATCATCGCAATTATTCTCCGTATCAGAAGCTGGTGCTGGCGCCATTTTCGAGAAGAGTTGAATCTGGCGCGAAACACCAGATGGCGGTAGTTGTCATAAACCGGAACCAAAACAAATATTATATATACTACCTACCAACGCAAAATGAACTTAATTTTCCGGATTACTTAAATAAGATTTTTTTTAATTTTCATTATAGACTACCCATACACTCTAAAATTGATAATCTAAAGAAAATTTCATTACTTTTACATCTATGAGCATTAATTAGTTAAACCAAGGACCATTGTATTAAGTAACTTTAAGAAATAAATAAATAAATTCACAGAAGTCCAACATTTTTTCATTCAGAAAAAAATGCGATCTTGATAAAATAATGCGTCTAAAATTATAGCGATTATCATTACATCATTAATGCTAGAATATCATATTCCTCCTGCTATTGCGGAATCCGGATTTATCTTTTCCTGACATTGGTTCGTTGACTAGTTTTTTCTGTTTATTAAACGGTATCCTTTGACGTGTATTTGTCTGAAGAAAACACTCTGAACAGCAGTCATCGGCTAACTGAATTATCACGTAAGAATTTTCGACACCTCACAGATAACCGGAAGCAGATGATGTAGATTCTACCGAGTCCTTTTTTTTGCAATCGTCATTCTTATTTGTAATTGTCACAGGTAAGTTTTTATTTCTGCAGCCACGTGATTATGTTATGGCCACACATATTTCGTCAGACTTATCTTTGATCAATAACATTCGAAGGGGTTAAATTAATTAACCTTTAGTCCGATTCTTTCAACTGGTTCGTGAAAAGATATTAACCGAATGCATGACTCTAAGGTACAGAATCTATATGGCGTAGCTTTCTTTGAATCGTTAACCAGTTAAATGTCAAGTTTGCATGCATCAGCTTTAGAACTATCCGTTTTATTGATTTTCTAGCATCCAAGTCGGCCTGCAGCTGAGGATGCATATGTGTTGAAAATTACACGCGATTCCACAGCATTTGAAACAGACTCATTTTCACTAACATTTTTTGATGAAAAATTACCTCGCCATGTTAAAGAAAAATATCCTCTCTATAATAAAAAAAATAAGGGATCTTAAAGGTCTTCACATTATCAAAGTCAATACCGGGTGATAACCATAATTTTCAGATTTTTTTTATCAAAGCTCTAAATGTTTGATTAGACAATAGATAGTTCAGAGTTGTATGGATTGTAGACAAAAAATGTAATTTAAACTCCAAAGTGATAAAGCTACTTTATATATACACCAAAAAATGTAAACTTTGAAGTAGCCAGAGTATTAACTGTTGAAAAAGGTGAAGGGATTCAGTGATCTGTTTATGTATGTCCAAATAATGTCATGTTTTCAAAGTGAGAAGGCCAGGTAGTGACTGTGAAACTAAAAGAAATAGTCGTGAGCATGATAAAAAGAACAAAAAAATCACAATGAAATTTTTTGGTGACCTTTAAGTTTGTCTTTTGTGTTCATCAGTGAATCAACATGTCTCTAGTTGTATATATATTTGGTTTGTTGTAAATTTGTCTTTAGGCATTCAACATTTGTCATTGAAGTAATACTGTGCAATGGAAGCTTCTATGAGAAGTAACTGATATGATGTAATGTATTAGCCCAAGGAGCGGCCCTGAGGAGTGGGGCCAAAAGGGGTAAAATTGACTCATATTTCAAAAATCTTCTTCTCAACCCCCAGATATGGTTGTATCGAATGCTGTTCATGGATGAAAGCATTTTAAGGTGGTTGACAAAAATGTGATTTTCATGGCCCCAGGGTCTCACATTTTCCCATGGGGAGAGGGTAAAGTTTACTATAGTTATACATGAAAAATGGATTTTTGAGTATAATTTGTTAAATTTCCATTGGAAATATTTCAAACTTGGTTAGAATTATGAGGGAGGGATGACAGCTTGATTGTATGAATTTATTGATCCTGACTGACCCCTAGCAGCTGTTAGACAGGGCCAAATTGACTTCAGTTTTAAAATCTTCTTCTTAACACCTAGGTATGGTCTTTATCAGAATATTTTATTGATATAAACAATCATTAGGATTAGACAGCAGGCTAAATCCTATATATGTCTTCTCCCAAGACAACATGGTGGTCAGACAAAAACATAATACACCATAAACATACATACATACAGACACACGCACGCACGCACGCACACACACATACATACATATCAAATGCTAGGATGGAAGCATCTTAAGGCACTTTAATTTAATTACCCAAATGAGTCTCACATTTCTTCCTGGGGAGGTAAAAAATTGCATTTTGAGCATGACATTGTTTATTTTCCACTGGAAATAACTTTGTAAGATTTATTACTATAGGATGACAGTCTTGACTGTATGTATGTATTGACACTGGCTTACTATCCTCAATGTCACAATTTATTTTTCATGACAAGCTACTTACCCTTGAACCTTTATATTCAATATTGCCTATCTCAGGTGACCATCAAGGCTGCTAGGTATATGTAGACTGTTAGAACTAATTATCCTTAAAACTAATTACAGGAAAGAGAGATAAAAAAACACCTCAGAGATAAAGTAACACACTTGTAAGTATTGATATAACATGTAGGAGAAGTTGACAGTCAGGTCACCTGTAAAACTATATATGTCAGAAGACAATTATCTAGTGGCCAGTACATTTTTATTGATAGAAATTGCCGACTAGACAGAAACTTTATAACAGCTGAAGGAGGAGAAACAATGTAATTGGATTTCATGAAAGCTGTCAACCAGTAACATTGTTACACTCGCTGTAGGTTTTAATTATTAAGAGGATTACAATGCCCTATTCTATTGTTGGTATTTAACAGCAATTTCCTTTATGATCCACTGGAAAGGTCGGGACTGTAGGGTTCACTACCAGTGGGAGCATTACACTTTGTCCCATCACTGATTATGAAGGATATTTTACCTACATAAAGATAATTGTGGTGTTTCTCATAGGAAAATCAAACTCTGTGCTTTTTTTAAGGGAAACCTTCATTCTGTTTTCCCAAGGGAAAACATAACCTTTTCTTTCACTTAAAATGGATATTTCAAGCTACACTTCAGATCGTCAGACAGACAGTGGCTGAGTAGTTCATTGCAATTGAATTTTCTTTTTGTTCTCATGTGTTATATCAAATGACATTTTTAGTTTCCTCTTTGAAATAGTAGATTATATTGATTTTGACCAAATTTAGAATTGAAAATCCATACCAATTAAGAGATCAGATTGTGCTACTCTGCAGGCAAGCTGCAACACACTGTAGTCTGGTTTGTTTCTGTGTATGGCTGTTAAATTTAGAAAAAATCAATTAACTTTGAGTTGATGCTCATTCTCAGCAACTTTGGACAATAGTCTTATAGGCATCCAATACTTTACAGAGTCTGAAAAAGTAGGAATGTATTAGTATCATGAAACTCTGTGTGTCAAAATAACAGGATGTGCAGTGTACCGAATGCAGGGTCCTCAACCCTCAAATACAGAGTTATTGCCCTTTGTTAAAATGTCTTGTCTGTAGCATATAACTTTGCTTGCATTTAAACTAGGAACATGAAACATGGTGTATATTTGATCATACTTAGAGAAAGTGCAGTATACCAAATTCAGGGCCTGTAACCCAGAAATTACAGAATCATTGCCCTTTGTTAGAATTTTGTGTCAAATGAAGTCGTTTACAGGAAACATTCACCAGTTTCACTGATACTCTTGTTTTTTGTCAGTATCACAGATTTATTTACCAGTTTAAGATATTGTGTCAGTGAAAAATGTGCATACATATGTACAATACATAATATCTTTAGTTGATTTTTCAATATTCCCAATATGTACAATATAACCATTCCATTTGATCTTCTCTCCTAGTGATCCTATATTTCAAGGATATAAAACCAGGATGTTGCGATTACAATGTCACAGTATTCAACTTAAGTATATCCTGTCTGGAGTCAGATTTAAATGTACAGGAAGAAGCTGAAAGGATTTACATATAGCAGAAATCTGAATGTATTGAGTAAGCATTTTGTGTATGAGGCAAACAGACACATTTAAACATATTATATTTCTGTGTTAGAAGGCAAGTAGGGAGTAATTGTTCTGTTCTTAATGTCCCATGAACACGGTAAAGGTCATTGATGACATAAAATACATAAACCAAAAGGCTGGCTTTTATATAGTTTGAAATAAAGTGGCATTGTTAAGTGATATTTCATGGAACAGACTTAATAATTTTACGTAGTGTAGAATTTGTAATGTGTAATCTGTCTAGCTGTTTTAAAAAGAGATTTTAGTCTATCATGACTATAGTAAGTAGATTTAAGACATGTCAGTAACGTTCAGAAGGATCTGACCCTGTTGTCTTCTTTCTAAGAACCTTGATCTATTTTTAACTGACCTGGTCTGAAGGAATGGTGAGGTAATGCCATGGTTAGCATCTATATGCCATCCATCAACTTTTTAATAAAAATTGCTACTAGTCTCGAACGACTGAACATATTTTGACCAGATTTGGTCAGAAGCATCCTTCGGGGATGTGGAACAAATTTTTTGTAAATATTGGTTCACAGCTCCCAGGAGGTGGAGGGATGAGACCCAAAAAGGGATAGTTTGCAACTACCTGTTCAAAAGTCATAAAAAACTTATATGATTTGGACAAAATTTGGTATCCTTGGTGGAAAGGGCATCTCAGTTCTCTTTAATTGATGGATCTCAATAGCCTGAGGGGCATTAATCATTAGGAGTATTACATATATTCTGTACTTTGAAATCATTCTTTTGGGACGAAGGGGTTAAATGGTAGTTCTTGATCAGCTGGGGCCCGAAGGAAGACCTCACAGAGATCAGCAAATGATTATAAAATCCTTCTTCCAGAGGAATAATTAGATTTGTCCAATTTGTTCTGAAGTGTAATTTGTTGAAGTGGACTCAATTTTGTATTAACAGTGGGCCTGACTCGTTTGGAGTTAGATGAGCTAACTTATATATACAGGAAATGGATAAGTCATTTTTAAATCCTTCTTCTACAGCTGAAATGAAGGTATGTTGATCAAATTTGGTCAGAGGCATCCTATGATGAAGAGAGTTGATTTTATTCACATGGTGACTTTTAAGTCACCATGGGATCTGAAGGATGGGGTCCAATTGGGGATTGAAATTCTGAAATGCTGGTATATCAGATCATATTTTGATGAAGGGAACACACTTTCGTGGAGTTTGTAAATCTCACCTTCCTGAGGACTGAGGAGTGTATGTACTGCTTGCAAGTCATTTTGTTACTGTTACATTAAAAATATGTACAAATGGTTTAAAATATAAAATGAAAATTGTTAAGGTTAAAGTTGATAATGAAAGTGATAAACTTGCATTTTTAATTTTTGGTATTCCAGTGTGATATAACAGCTGTAAACAAAGGTGAAGACTGTCAAGATTTTATTTTAGTTTTTAAGACGAATCAGAAAGAATGAGGTCAGAGTGGATTATTACTCTTTGGTACAATTTCATCTTTTATGTGTTTAAGGATGAGTTAGAAAAAGGCTGGACACTGGTCCATTAGAACTAAGATCTCCACCAACTTCAATCTCGCTCTCTTGTAAGTGTTGTGAACAGTCAGCTAACATCACCCAGCATAAGGCCACTACTGGTCAACTTAAGAT